ACACACACACACACACACACACACACACACACACACACACACACACACACACACACACACACACACACACACACACACAAACGAACACATGTTCAGGTTATTATGTATCCCTTGTTTATCTGTTATCATGTTATACTGTATATCCATTTAATATTTGTAAATTCAACATGTATATTTTCTACTTTCTTGTTTAGTTCTAGTCTTTTTAATTTGTAATGTCATGTGTTTTATGCAACACAAACTGTGGCGGAAACTTCTGAAACAATGGAGAGTCAGGACTCAGAGAGACACGAGGAGAGCTGGAGCTTTGATGGAGTCAGGACTCAGAGAGACACGAGGAGAGCTGGAGCTTTGATGGAGTCAGGACTCAGAGAGACACGAGGAGAGCTGGAGCTTTGATGGAGTCAGGACTCAGAGAGACACGAGGAGAGCTGGAGCTTTGATGGAGTCAGGACTCAGAGAGACACGAGGAGAGCTGGAGCTTTGATGGAGTCAGGACTCAGAGAGACACGAGGAGAGCTGGAGCTTTGATGGAGTCAGGACTCAGAGAGACACGAGGAGAGCTGGAGCTTTGATGGAGTCAGGACTCAGAGAGACACGAGGAGAGCTGGAGCTTTGATGGAGTCAGGACTCAGAGAGACACGAGGAGAGCTGGAGCTTTGATGGAGTCAGGACTCAGAGAGACACGAGGAGAGCTGGAGCTTTGATGCTTTCACACCAGCGCTTTTCCCTTTCTAGCTCCTAGCTAGAGCTTTTCTGGTTCAGCTCCGGTTTCCCTTTTCAGCTCCCGCTCTGTTCACACCGCCCAGAGCTGCCGCTGCTGCGTCATGACGTCACCGTTTACATCGCTGATTTTCTCCCCAACGGAGCTCACAACAACAACAACAACAACAACAACAACAACAACAACAACAACGGGGGGGGACTGCGTCGGGTCGATGATCGCGTTGCTTTTAATCATACGAAGCCAGATTAAATTAAATAACTACTTCTCCAACCTTATACTTTTCTCCAGAGTGCCGTGGTTCATTGTTTATTAATGTGTTTCAGCGGCATTTAGCGACCGCTGCAGTGCTGACTGCTCTTCCACGGGAGTTTATTCTCCCGTTAGCTCCGGGTTAGCTCACACGGCTCTAAAGTATTCACTGTCTGACTGTCACACAAGCAGCTGATACATATCCCCAGTTCCCCTTAAGTGAATGTGTGTCAGTCTGAATTGACGCTGTTTGGCATCACAACGCTGTTATGAAAGTTTCTCTGGTATAACATGGGTGATGTTAGCATAGCAACCGAAGCTAAACTGACTACTTGCTAAGCCGTTTTCTACAGGCACTTTTTACCGGCGTATTTTTCATTATGATTCTACTTGTGATAGTCGGACATGACAACCTGTGCAGCCCATGTATTGATTCCATCCGATAGCTGCTATAATAACAAACAAAACGTCTGCCTGCTCTCCACAATGATCAATAACAGCGAACGGATGGTCAAAGTAAGGTACAAATAAACAGAATCACACGAAGCCTGGTTAGTGTTGCCTGACTTTATAAAGTGTGTTTTTTTTTAATAAGTGTGTGGTTGCCTTCTAGTCACTTTGCTCAGCGCTACTGCTTGTAGGCAGGCATGACGAGACTCTTCAGTCGACCCATGTTCAGGGGAGGTGGGTTTAGTTTCCTGCACGCCTCGACGTAAGAGAGACGTAAGCGACGCCGCCTCTAGCTCCGAAGCTCCTGCCTCTAGACCGACAATTTTTTGGAGCTGGAAGTGAACCGCATTCCGGAGCTATGACGCGGCGCCGCTGCGGTGTGAACAGGAAAAAGCGGCGCGCCGGTGTGAAAGGGGCAAGAGAGACACGAGGAGAGCTGGAGCTTTGATGGCAAACACTGACGGTTTATTTGGAGTTACGGCCGGAGAACTCACAAGACAGGTGGTGTGTCACGAGTTGACACGGCGGTTGCCAAACCAATTCTGAAGAACTCTTCTGTAGTTCCAGGTTTTAACTAGTTCAGAGTGAAATAATCAACATTCTTTATCAGTGAGACTAAACATTATGGACCCTGAATCTAACTAGAGCTCTCGTCCATAGGAAAGAATGTGCGCCAGGGAACCTACGTCCCTGAACAGTAAACTACGTCATGTCAGCTTGTGCTCTGTCAGACTGGCAACAACAATGCGTCCAAGCTGCTCCTTCTCCAGAGAGATAGCAGCAGAACCCAAGCTGCTCCTCCTTCAGAGAGATAGCAGCAGAACCCAAGCTGCTCCTCCTCCAGAGAGATAGCAGCAGAACCCAAGCTGCCCCTCCTTCAGAGAGATAGCAGCAGAACCCAAGCTGCCCCTCCTTCAGAGAGATAGCAGCAGAACCCAAGCTGCCCCTCCTCCAGAGAGATAGCAGCAGAACCCAAGCTGCTCCTCCTTCAGAGAGATAGCAGCAGAACCCAAGCTGCCCCTCCTTCAGAGAGATAGCAGCAGAACCCAAGCTGCCCCTCCTTCAGAGAGATAGCAGCAGAACCCAAGCTGCCCCTCCTTCAGAGAGATAGCAGCAGAACCCAAGCTGCCCCTTCTCCAGAGAGATAGCAGCAGAACCCAAGCTGCCCCTCCTCCAGAGAGATAGCAGCAGAACCCAAGCTGCCCCTTCTCCAGAGAGATAGCAGCAGAACCCAAGCTGCCCCTCCTTCAGAGAGATAGCAGCAGAACCCAAGCTGCCCCTCCTCCAGAGAGATAGCAGCAGAACCCAAGCTGCCCCTCCTCCAGAGAGATAGCAGCAGAACCCAAGCTGCCCCTTCTCCAGAGAGATAGCAGCAGAACCCAAGGCCGTAGACCTGTGCCGTGGGAAAGGAGGCAGTGAGAGGAGAACATGATGAACTGGGTCGAAGGCTGAATACCTGAGCAAATGATTCCCTAACACAAACATTTCCCAAATTGAGATCAATAAAGTACTTCTTATGATTGTTTCTACTTTGTTCCTCACTTCTGTTCACATCCCAAATCTGTTTATATCTGACACATTTCCTCTGTTTATGGAAGAGAGACATGTTGTTAGGATGCATGAGGTATTAGTAATGCATGGCTTTAATCTGCTCTCAGTGAAAAGAGGAACTCTCACGTCGAACGGCAGCACCTCCACAGACGTGTTGAACAGCTTGTCTCCAGGGTGCTCCATGTGCCCGCTGCGGAAGAAGAACCTGACGGGGACACGGACAGGCGTTTACAAATATATATATCAAATCTGTACTTTATAGAATAATTAAAGCTAGTGTAAAACAACTTTTTAAATATCTCAAATGTTATTTATGTGATTGATGTTGTTGTTGTTATTGATGTTGTTTATGATATCTATGTATCCCCACCTCTCGATGCGGACAGGGCGTGAAGAAGCGTATCCGGATGAAGTCCCCTGAGACGGGGGTGAAGGCCCAGAAGAAGTCCTCCCCCAGGTAGGCTTTCTCCAGAGTGAAGTGCTGGTAGGTCTTCAGAGAGGTCGTGACCTCTGCCAGGGGGTTAGCGTGACCTTTGTGGAGCGTCTGCTTCCCAAAGTCCTTATCCTGCAGGGAAACATGCAGGGTTACCATACAGGTCTATACACACTGATGCTGAATGTCCTCTTCCAACATGAGAGTAACATGCTAACAAAGGTATCCCAACTGTAGCTGTGTTCATGACAGGATGTCTGATTACCTAGAAGAGCATCAGGACTGTTTTAGGCATATGATAGCTATGTGATTAACATGATGATTCAGCCTCTATGGAGATAGACATATGACAAGCATGATCATTTCTGACGTGGAGCTAATCTGAAGTAAACATTGAATACTGCTTTCTATTCCTCCATCTTGTGACTGTGTAACTCCCTCTCTTGGATATCAGCATGTGAAGGACACTGTTCAGGAACTAGTTGATGCTCTGTATGTGATGACTACTTCCATTCTGGAGAGGATCACAGATACATGGATCCTGAGATTGAAGCTCAAGCCCGGGACCAGTGATTATTAACATTTTGAGATTTGAGAAAAAGTCAGATTTTTGTGAAAGTCAGAATTCTGAGAAAAAGTCCGAATTTTTGAGAAAGTCGATTTTTTGAGATTTTCAGTAAAAAGCCAACATTTTGATAGAAGTCAGATTTTTGATATTTTGATAAAAAGTCAGAATTTTGATAAAAATTCAGATTTTTGATAAAAATTCAGATTTTTGATAAAAAGTCAGAATTTTGAGAAAAAGTCAGAATTTTGGGAAAAAGCCAGAATTTTGAGAAAAAGTCAGAATTTTGAGAAAAAGTCAGAATTTTGAGAAAAAGTCAGAATTTTGATATTTTGAGAAAAAGTCAGATTTTTGTGAAAGTCAGAATTCTGAGAAAAAGTCCGAATTTTTGAGATTTTCAGTAAAAAGCCAACATTTTGATAGAAGTCAGATTTTTGATATTTTGATAAAAAGTCAGAATTTTGATAAAAATTCAGATTTTTGATAAAAAGTCAGAATTTTGAGAAAAAGTCAGAATTTTGGGAAAAAGCCAGAATTTTGAGAAAAAGTCAGAATTTTGATATTTTGAGAAAAAGTCAGAATTTTGATATTTTCAGAAAAAAAAACAACATTTTGAGAACAAGTTCAGTGTTTTGTACATGACAACCGGTATTCCTCCATCTTGTGACTGTGTAACTCCCTCTCTTGGATATCAGCATGTGAAGGACACTGTTCAGGAATTAGTTGATGCTCTGTATGTGATGACTACTTCCATTCTGGAGAGGATCACAAATACATGGATCCTGAGATTGAAGCTCCAGCCGGGGACTAGGGAGATGTTTCTAACACACATAAATAATGCTCTGAACCTGCTTCCCAAAGTCCTGATCCTGATAGCAAACATACTTAACATTCAGGTTTATATACAAATATATGATGGTCCTAATCTGCTTCTTAAAGTCCTGATCCTGCATGGAAACACGTTTATATATCATTGATCTATATGAAAAATGTGATTAATGATCAATTCATCTTTGCAGTTTCCA